ATAAATGGGTTGGATATCTCTGTCCACAAGCAGAGATGGTGCTTAAAGAAAATATAGAGAAAGGTCGTCTATTGGATGTTAAGCAAGCTACAGCTGACATATTTGAAGTGCAAGCACATAAAACTACCTGTGTTGATTTGGAGAAGAAGACATGCACTTGCCGTGCTTGGGACGTCATACGGATTCCGTGTAAACATGCATGTGCAGTCATCTCGTACATGAAGAGAGACATTTACCAATATTGCGATTGGTTTATGTCCATAGAAGCATTTAAAAAGAGCTATGACCCGATTCTCTATCCTATACCAGATTATGAGAAACGAAGCGTGCCAAGGGATGAGATCGAGCTACTTCCACCACATACTATCAAAAGAAAGGGGAGAAATAAAACAAGACGTATCAACAATCGAACAGTGTACAAACGACCTTTGAAATGCTCTCGATGCCACTCCGAAGGCCACAACCGCGCAACTTGCAATGAGCCGATCGCCGATTGATATGAGTTGCGGATTTGAAGAAACACTTTTGGGTGTATGTAATACTTTTGTAGTTAACTGTGTATATAAACTGAAATATATCTATGCCAATGTGAATATGATGGATAACATGTTAACTCTTGTGGCATACATGTTAACTCTTGTAGCTAATATGTTAACTCTTGTGTCAAACATGTTAACTCTTGTGGAAAACATGTTAACTCTTGTTGAAAACATGTTAACTCTTGTAACAAATATGTTAACTCTTTTGGCAAACATGTTAACTCTTTAATGAGCAGGGGACACCTCACCTGTCCCCTGCTCGTATCCCCTTTTCCGGATCCCTGTAGAAGGACTCATATATCAATGTCAATGTGAATTATAATATTTCATGTTAACTCTTGTTGAAAACATGTTAACTCTTGTGGAGAAAATATTAACTCTCGTGGAAAACATGGTAACTCTTGATGCAATATGTTAACTCTTGCTGCAAACATGTTAACTCTTATTGATATTATGTTAACTCTTGTGGGAAATAGGAAATATGTTAACTTTCTTTGATAACATGTTAACTCTTGTGGCATACATGTTAACTCTTGTTATATACATGTTAACTCTTGTAGCTAATATGTTAACTCTTGTTTCAAACATGTTAACTCTTGTGAAAAACATGTTAACTCTTGTTGAAAACATGTTAACTCTTATAACAAATATGTTAACTCTTTGGGCAAACATGTTAACTCTTTTGGCAAACATGTTAACTCTTTTGGCAAACATGTTAACTTTTGTGGAGAACATGTTAACTCTTGTTGATAACATGTTAACTTTTGTTGGAAATATGTTGTGGAGAACATGTTAACTCTTGTTGATAACATGTTAACTTTTGTTGGAAATATGTTAACTTTCTTTGATAACTGTTAACTCTTTGACATAACAAAACTCTCGTAAGTAACATGTTAACTATTGTTGATTACAAGTAAACTCTTGTGATAACATGTTAATCCTTATTGATACATGTAAACTCATGATGATAAAATGTTAAATCTTGTTGCCATCATGTTGACTCTCGTAGTTACCGGTGTATATGAACTGAAATATGTTTGGGTGTTTGTAATAGTTTTGTAGTTAACTGTGTACATGAACTGAAATATATCAAGAAAAATGCCCCAGGGGACAGGAGCAGGGGACAGATGAGGTGTCCCCTGCTCATTGGTTAATGTACTGTTCATGAACAATACATTAACCAATGAGCAGGGGACACCTCACCTGTCCCCTGCTCCTGTCTCCTTTTTCGGGTCCCTGTAGAAGGACTCATATATCAATGGCAATGTGAATTATAATATTTCCTGTTAACTTTTGTTGAAAACATGTTAACTCTTGTGAAGAAAATATTAACTCTCGTGGAAAACATGATAACTCTTGATGCAAACATGTTAACTCTTATTGATATTATGTTAACTCTTGTTGGAAATATGTTAACTTTCTTTGATAACATGTTAACTCTTGTGGCATACATGTTAACTCTTGTAGCTAATATGTTAACTCTTGTGTCAAACATGTTAACTCTTGTAGAAAATATGTTAACTCTTGTTGAAAACATGTTAACTCTTGTAACAAACATGTTAACTCTTTGGGCAAACATGTTAACTCTTTTGGCAAATATGTTAATTCTTGTTGTAAACATGTTAACTTTTGTGAAGAACATGTTAACTCTTGTTGATAACATGTTAATTTTTGTCGGAAATATGTTAACTTTCTTTGATAACTGTTAACTCTTTGACATAACAAAACTCTCGTAAGTAACATGTTAACTATTGTTGATTACAAGTAAACTCTTGTGATAACATGTTAACCCTTGTTGATACATGTAAACTCATGATGATAAAATGTTAAATCTTGTTGCCATCATGTTGACTCTTGTAGTTACCGGTGTATATGAACTGAAATATGTTTGGATGTTTGTAATAGTTTTGTAGTTAACTGTGTACATGAACAAAATATATCAAGAAAAATGCCCCAGGGGACAGGAGCAGGGGACAGGTGAGGTGTCCCCTGCTCATTGGTTAATGTACTGTTCATGAACAGTACATTAACCAATGAGCAGGGGACACCTCACCTGTCCCCTGCTCCTGTCCCCTTTTCCGGGTCCCTGTAGAAGGACTCATATATCAATGCCAATGTGAATTATAATATTTCCTGTTAACTCTTGTTGAAAACATGTTAACTCTTGTGGAGAAAATATTAACTCTCGTGGAAAACATGGTAACTCTTGATGCAAACATGTTAACTCTTGCTACAAACATGTTAACTCTTATTGATATTATGTTAACTTTCTTTGATAACATGTTAACTCTTGTGGCATACATGTTAACTCTTGTGGCATACATGTTAACTCTTGTTGCAAACATGTTAACCCTTGCTGATAATATGTTAACCCTTGCAGATAACATGTTAACCCTTGTTGGTAACATGTTAACTCTTGATGATAACTCTTGATGATAACATGTTAACTTTATCCGTATACGGTATTATTTAACAAGTGAACCTGACATGTTATAAACTTTCTCCATATTTAACAAGTGAAGATGACATGATATAATTGTTAACTTACGAATCTAACATGTTATAAACTTTCTCCGGGCACTAGTTCATTAGCTGTTAATACACTATACAAGCTGAAAATTATGAAGATTGTTTACAGTTGTTTATCTACATAGCATTCTTCCTTAGGCTGTAACATTTGCGGCTCATGCAGGCGCTTTCAATTCTGGGGCCTCCACGGCTATTGTGCCCTTTCTATTTCTGAATTCCCAGCCTTCTTTTATTAGTTCCGCAGCAAGCCTTGCACGCACTACCGCAGACGAATCATCGGCGGGCGTAACATGCCGAACATCACCTTTATGTAGGATAGCCCGTACATAAAGGTATATGTATATCCTACAATCGTAGCTACAAATAACAAAACATAAATACATATTAACGGTCAGTTTTGGAGATGAAAATTCTTTAATAAAATAAGGTTCATATGTTAATGTACCTTCCCTTTTGAGACTCACATTGGATTTCCTTATATTTAAATGCCCTACACACCTTTTCCAGATCGAATGCGGCCTTCATATGGTCCATGAAGTTTATAATTTTGTTAACGGGCTCAAGGTAAGCTTCGGGAGTTACCGAACTATAGTGCAACGCTAAATTTTCATTCAATCTAACTTCGACACAATGCCAATGGTCATGGTGAACAATTGGCAATATGAGTACTGATCGGCCAGCAGCAATATGTTGTTGTATATAAAGTTCATATAGTTCATATAGCCGCAGTTCAGCCTGGTCTCCATAGAGTGAATGATGTTACACAAAATTAACACATTAAGAAATAGCGGCCTTTAATATGTGAACATGATTCAAGTTCATATAGTTAACTTTTTTGGAAAATATGTTAACTCTTGTGAAGAACATGTTAACTCTTGTTGAAAACATGTTAACTCTTGTGGAGAACATGTTAACTCTTGTGGGATACATGTTAACTCTTGTGGAGAACATGTTAACTCTTATGGAGAACATGTTAACTCTTGTCGAAAACATGTTAACTCTTATCGAGAACATGTTAACTCTTATGGAGAACATGTTAACTTTTGTGGAAAACATGTTAGCTTTTGTTGAAAACATGTTAACTCTTGTTGCTAATATGTTAACCCTTGTAGATAACATGTGAACTCTTGTGGCTATATGTTAACTCTGATAGATAACATGTTAACTTTTGTGGAGAACATGTTAACTATTCTGGTTAACATGTTAAATATAAGAGCTTATCTGTTAACTAATTATATGAGGATTGGTCTTACGCAGAAATATGTAGATACAATCCCGTACTGCTTGTTTAATTCAGCGTTCTCTGGCAACTGCAGCCATAGCCGTAATCTATCTAAGAATGCCTCTGTTACTTTGTCATCGAGTCTTCCCCCGCGGATCATATACAATAGTTCCGGGTATGTAATTGCGCTGTTATTAGTAGTTATGACATATACGTACCTTAACAAGAAATAAGTTACGGAGGGTTAAAATTTAAAACATGAAAAGTAACATCTAAACGCAAAAACATAACAAGCAAAAAACACAGTTTCACAGTTAATATTAAAGAGTTAGCATTAAATTACTTAACATATTAACTGTCGTGGATAACATGTTAACACTTGTAGCTAACGTGTTAACTCTTGTGGCAAACATGTTAACTCTCGTTGCTAACATGTTAACTCTTGTGGGATACATGTTAACTCTTGTCGCTAACCTGTTAAGTCTTGTGGATAACATGTTAACTATTGTTGCTAACATGTTAACTCTTGTTGTTAACATGTTAACACTCGTGGTTAACATGTTAACCCTTGTTGCTTAAATTTAAACGTGAAAGCTTTACATTTTGAAATCAGCACTTACGGGCTACATTTCTCCTTGCAGTACTGCTCGAGCCATTTGTTCTCCTCAGCTGAGAGTTTCTCTGCAACATTTTTTGGTATTCTGTAGTTATGTACAAAAGCCCCAGCGCTATCTAACACTCGTAAGCTAAACGTGCATACATCAGGGATACCCTCATTCACCTCTTTTAAGGCAGCACGATCCACATGTGTTAAATACGTGTTTTTTAGCACATCCCACTTGCCAACACTGTCGTCATGGTAAACTGTTATTTTCTTTGGGGTGTCACCAACAACAATGGGTTCATCTTTGTGCTCACCATCTTTTAACTTCAATCCCTTAGCCCTCGGTTTCTTATCCTCAGTAAATGGTGTCCTAACCAGTTTACCTTTCTTGGTTGCTCTTTTGCTTGGAGCTCTACTCCTATAACCCACATATTTTTTGCTCACCGGCTTCCTCGGCCTCTTCGATCCTTCGCTGAGTGGAACTCTCTCAACCACACCTTCCTCCTCCTGCACCATCTGCTTGTCCTCCTCATCCTTGATCACCTCGTCTCTCTCTTCGCTCTTGCCCATTTCCTCGACAACTTCATTCTTGGTAACATCGTCTCTCTCTCCTTTCGAGCCCTCTTCATCCTCAACCATCTGCTTGTCCTCCTCATCCTTGGTCACTTCTTCTCTCTCTTCATTCTTGCCCATTTCCTCGACACCTTCATTCATGGTGACGTCGTCTCTCTCTCCAAAGTTGTCCTCTCCATCGATTTCATGCTTGTCCTCTTCTTCTTCTTCCACTGTAGGGTTTTCTTTCAGCTGCTGTGTAATAAGCTTCTTCACATTGTTCTTTAAAATCAAGGGATCTACTATGTCACAAGATTCGTCCAACCCCTTAACCTTTTCGTTAAGTCTACGAATCTCGTCCATGAAAGTTTGACAATACAATTTCTTCGAGACCCTCAGTGTACGGCAAAGTCTCTGGTTTACTTTAGCAGCATTTCTCCAAAATTGCAGTTGCTCCTCAACCGGTAACGTTTCAATCTCATCTTCCCTTTCGAAAGCCTCATCAATGGCTTTTGACATTATCTATAATTTAGAAATAACAAAGAGTTAAAATCAAGTTTATAAAGGTTAACAGTAAGTGGTCCACAATTGACACAGATAATTAAAGGTTCTTCAATCATCTATAGGTAACATGTTAACTCTTGCTGCTAACATGTTAACTCTCTCTGGTAACATGTTAACTCTTGTAGCTAACATGTTAACTCTTGTGATAATATGTTAACTCTTATTGAAACATGTTAACTTTTGTTGCTAATATGTTAACTCTTGTGCATACATGTTAACACTTGTAAAAAACATGTTATCTATTGTTGCTAATATGTTAACTGTTGTAGAAAACATGTTATCTATTGTTGCTAACATGTTATGTATTCTTGTGATAATATTTAGCACCTTAGAACTTACCAAACCTATTGACCATCTCTTCTCATGTTCCTTCTCTTCTTCCTTCTTTTCAACCTTCTTTTCTTCTTCAATCTTCCTCTTCCTTACTGCTGCTTTCTTGGCCTCCCTATGTACGACTGGTAATTGTGGTACAATCCCTTCCCTTCTAAGCCTCATCAATGGCCTTCTGATTGGATATTTCTCATCGGATGGGCCAATTTCAGCTATTGGTTTTTGTACAACCTGGATGCTAGCTTTTGCAGCCTTGGCAACTATTGTTCTATTTCTAAAAGATCCATACTTCTCACCAATCTTCACCCAGTTAGTGAGGGGTGGTTTGGATCTATTGCTCAAGGCATATCTTTTAATCCCCGTCATTTCATAATACCATAGCTGCAAGCAATTAATACATGTTAGTATGCAATACTAATCTTTTAAACATGAATATAGTTAACAGAACTCATCTTGCAATATAGTTAACACTGACAACACCAACTTTAATACTGGAAACACTAAAGTTAACATGAACCGAAATATAGTTAACAAGATCCTTAGAATAGTTAACATGAACCAGTAAGCCTTAATGGTTTCTTGACGTAAGTTGACAGAAAACAAGCAAGCGTTCACATGCACAGATTAATCCAACTTACAGGGATCAAAGGCATGCATCCAGGTACATAGCTTATTCCTGACCTGTGCAGACCTTCCCTGGCAATCTTAATTCCTTTCTTCGTCTGATCATAGATGTATTTCCCCCAGGCCACATTCCTCACTCTTTCAATTGAATCAACATATTTGAACAAGAGCCTTGGGATGCCTTGGACACTGCTAGGGCACCACATCAATGAACATTGATAAAGTATCTGCAGTAACACAAAATCTTCAATATCCTTCTTCTTTCTTGATTCAACAAGAGATTGCAGTAGCTCTTCCACATATCGCCGCATATTCTTCGCTGATTTCTTTCCCTTTCTAGTAAAACGTTTATGAAAATACTCCACCCAAAGCCTAGGGTAAGGATCTCTATTATTGTAAATTATTTCCCCATCAATTGGGAAACCTGTATGTTCATGCACCCAGTCCAAATCAAAATTAACAACCTTTTCTCTCCCACTTTCGGCATCGGGCAGAGAAAACGCCACTTCATTACCCTTATAGTGTCTCAATACAAGTTCCAGCGTGGGTCGATCTTTTGCTGGGGGGCCAAACTTTACATAATGCTGGAATGTACACCCTTGGTATGCATCCCAATGACACTGCCGCATTCTCGGTTCGAGGACTTTCATAAATTTACAATATGCGGAGAAACTTGCAGTGGGTCTAATTTTAGCAGCACCTGACTTTTTCCTGTATTATAATTAAACATTTAACATCAACAACACTTGACATCCAACATCCAATAGTTAACATGCAACAATGAACTGTAACAGTTACGCTATAAACCTTAACACTTAACAGCCAAACTTAACATTAATAAGAAACCTTAACACTTAACAGCCAAACTTAACATTAATAAGAAACCTTAACACTTAACAGCCAAACTTAACATTAATAAGAGGTATATAGTTCACATTTAACATTAAGGTATCAGCTAACATGTCCTTCAACCAATGTCCAGGCATATAGTTCACAATTCAACTTCAATCCCTTAACATCTATGTAAATTACAAAATATAACATATAACATTATCTTACTTCTTTATGGATTTCTGTGGTGCGTTTAGTGAACTTGTAATTTTTCTTTTTCTCCTTACACCCATCTGGAAACTCAACAACGTTTGGGTGGCTTCATCGGTGCTGCCATTCCCTGATGATGACGCATGGGTGGACGACGACTTGGAGGCAGGGGAGGATGTGAGAGAATCAGTACCACGGTCGGTCTCAGATGGCAAAGGGGGGTCTTCGTCGGTCTTGGAAGGCGAGGGAGGATCTTCGTCGGTCTTGGAAGGCGACGGCGAGTCTTCTCGCTCGTCGTTCATTGGTGCATCTTCCTGACGTTGCAGCGGCGGCGGAGGATGGTGAACCACTTCGTATTCGTTCGCCGATTTTTTCTCCATCTGCGAACTGGTTTCGACCTAACCCTAGAAGCGGATTTTGGTTTTTCGCCGGAGAGTAAGCCAGAGACAGAGTGCGGGAGGGAGAGAGACGAGAGAGAGAGAGCGCCTCGATAGTAGCGGAGTGGCGGCACCGTTACCAACGCACGATGGCTGTAGCAGAGTGGGCGGGAAGGGTAAATTCGGGATTCTGAGGATTGAGTGAGCTGGAGGGGCTAAAATGAAGTTTTGGAGTGTATTTTGGGTTTATACCAAACATTAAAAGTACAGGGGGCTGTTGCACATTGTTTTTTCAATTTTGGGGCCTTGAAGCAATTTTTCCAAAAAAAAAATTGAATTCCTTATTCGATTAGACGAAGAAAATTGAGAAAAAGTTAGTTATTGAAATTAAAAAAATCTAATATTTTTTTATCATTAACCTAGAAAATGTTAGTTATTGAAAAAAAAATCTAATATGCACTTTTAGATTTTCTAGGTTTTTTTTTTAAATTTTTTTAGTATTTACACATATCTAAATTAGACCGCTATTTGATTTTGCGCTTTTAACCGCTATTTTATCGTAATATCCCCAAATAGCCTTAGCGATGCCTCACCGTTACGCGACGCTATTCGCTGTCAATAACCTTGGTTATTAGAAGCTTATATCCGAATTTCAAACAATTCTAAGTTGGTACTAAGCATACCCATTTTACTTGGTAGTAATGTGGCATGATATGAGCCTTTGAATTGGAATAGGTTGAGGAGATGAGTGGGTGAACTATTTTGCAAAAAAACCCTCATCTCATTCTCTCTCCCCCCATCTATCTCTCCCCTTCATTCCCAGAGAACTCATTATCTCTCCCTCACTCATCTCAGATCTACCCCTCATCACCATGGCGTCAGGTTGAGGAGATGAGTGGGTGAACTATTTTGCAAAAAAACCCTCATCTCATTCTCTCTCCCCCCATCTATCTCTCCCCTTCATTCCCAGAGAACTCATTATCTCTCCCTCACTCATCTCAGATCTACCCCTCATCACCATGGCGTC